TCCATCCAATATCTGTCCATCCATCATCCATCCATCCATCATCCATCCATCCATCCATCCATCATCCATCCATCTACCCAACATGTATCTGTCTATCAATCCATTCATCCAACATCTATTCATCCATCTATCCAATATCTGTCCATCCATCCACCTATCCATCATCCATCTACCCAACATGTATCTATCTATCCATCCATCCATCCATCCATCATCCATCCATCCATCCATCCATCCATCATACATACATACATCCATCTACCCAACATGTATCTGTCTGTCTATCCATCCATCCATCATCCATTCATCCATCTATCCAACATATGTCCATCCATCCATCATCAATCCATCCATCTACCCAACATGTATCTGTCTGTCTATACATCCATCCATCATCCATTCATCCATTTATCCAACATATGTCCATCCATCCATCATCAATCCATCCATCTACCCAACATGTATTTATCTGTCTATCCATCCATCCATCCATCATCCATCCATCCATCTATCCAATATCTGTCCATCCATCCATATATCCATCCATTCCTCCCATCCATCCATCCATTCCTCCATGCAACATGCATCTATCTGTCTATCTACCCATCTGTCCATCATCCATTCATCCATCTCTCCAATATGCATCAACCTAGGAACCAGGAGGTCACAGTTCCATTCCCAGTCAAGGGCACACGCCTGGGTTGTGGGCTCGATCCCCAGTAGGGGGCGTGCAGGAGGCAGCCAATTTGTGGTTCTATTTCATCGTTGATGAACGATCATTATTACCTTGTGGCTGCCCCCTCTGCTGGTGGATCACCTCCGACCAGTCGCTGGGGTAGGTTGTGCGGGATGGATAGGTGGGCTCCGTGGTGGTCACTCTGGCTCGAAAGGAGTAGCACTTCTCAGCATCCAAGTCCTGGATGGTCACGTTGCAGGTCATTTCTGCCTTTGGCTGGAGGAGGGAAAGCAAACAGAAAGGTCGGTGACCTGATGTGTAGGTAGATGTGTAGATAAGTAGCTGATATAGAGGATAGATACATGGATGGATAGATGGATGGATGGATGGATGGATGGATGATGGATGGACAGATATTGGATGGATGGAGATGGATGGATGGATGGATGGATGGATGGATGGATGGATGGATGGATGGATGGATGGATGGATGGATGGATGGATGGATGGATGGATGGATGGATGGATGGATGGATGGATGGATGGATGGATGGATGGATGGATGGATGGATGGATGGATGGATGGATGGATGGATGGATGGATGGATGGATGGATGGATGGATGGATGGATGGATGGATGGATGGATGGATGGATGGATGGATGGATGGATGGATGGATGGATGGATGGATGGATGGATGGATGGATGGATGGATGGATGGATGGATGGATGGATGGATGGATGGATGGATGGATGGATGGATGGATGGATGGATGGATGGATGGATGGATGGATGGATGGATGGATGGATGGATGAGTGGATGGATGGATGGATGGATGGATGATGGATGGATGGATAGGTAGATGATAGATCAAATGATAAATGTGTACATTCATATTAGATGACTAATGAATGGATGGATAGATAGATGATGGATAGATGGAATGACGTTTTGTCTTCGTCCTTGGAACAAAAGTTTCCTTCTCTCAGGCATCTGGACATCTTGGGTAACTTTCTCTTTTTTGCCCAGTTCTTTGCCTCAAAAAAAAAAAAAAACAGCAAAAAACGAACAACCAACCAAAGAAAAATACACAGCCCGGCCTGTGGTTGAGCATCGACCTATGAACCAGGAGGTCACCATTTGATTCCAAGGCAGAGCACCTATAATCCAAGAGCAATCCCTTTAAATAAATCTCAATACCTCCTTCTCTCTGTTTCTCTCTCTCTCTCTCTCTCTCTCTCTCTCTCTCTCTCTCCCTCCCTCCCTCTTCTCTCTCCACCTCTCTCTCTTCTCTCTCTTCATCTCTCTTTTTCTCCATTTCTCTTCCTCTCTCTTCCTCTCTCTCTTCTTCTCTCTTCCTAGCTCTCCCTCTCTCTTCTATCTATCTATCTATCTATCTATCTATCTATCTATCTATCTATCTTAGCTATCATCTATTTATCTATCATCTATTTATTATGTATCTATCATCTATGTATCTGTCATCTATCTTTTATTATCTCTCTATCATCTATTTATCTATCTATCATCTATCTATCTATCTATCCATCATCTATCTATTTATCTATCATCTATCTATTTATCTATCATCTATCTATTTATCTATCATCTATCTATTTATCTATCATCTATCTATTTATCTATCATCTATCTATTTATCTATCATCTATCTATTTATCTATCATCTATCTATTTATCTATCATCTATCTATTTATCTATCATCTATCTATTTATCTATCATCTATCTATTTATCTATCATCTATCTATTTATCTATCATCTATCTATTTATCTATCATCTATCTATTTATCTATCATCTATCTATTTATCTATC